GGCAAAGCTTGGTTGGTGTCTACCATATTGCCCACCTGGGCCCTACCCAGTATTATTTTAAATGTTTCAGGATCTGAAAACAAAACAGGCAAGATCTTTTACCTTTTTTTCACAGCAAGAACAGCAACTTAGTGGCACAGCTGATACACAGAGCACATGTATACAAGAACAAGCACTTGAAGAAGATCTTATTTATGTTATAGCCACTGGTTCAAATTTAGTCTTGCTTGTGATTTAGGAAAAATAGAGAGTGACAAGCGTGCACTAAAAGGTGTGTGAATAATATGACCTAATGTGTTTCCCTCTATTTCTGTCCTTTTTGATTCACAAAAGCACCAAAGCAAGGAGTAATAACATTCCTATTTTCAGCCAGATTTAAGCATATACTGAAAATTTATCATTGGTTTAAGTGATGTATTAAGTAAGGATGGAATTACCCACATGCTTAAAATTAAGCTTATGTTGAATACTTTCTTGAAGCAGGACAGAATTCTGAAGCTTTAATTTGGTAACACACGGCTTGTTATCCCCTTCATAGCTACAAGAGTGAGCCCTGCAGTTCTATTTATAAAGTCTCTTTGGTAATGTTTCCAGTAAATTAGTGACTAATGGAGCTCCTTACAGCTACTATGTACTGGATATTAGAGCCTTCAGGATGCAATAGTGCATCACAGAACTACATGTATGAAGGTTACAATGAATGACAGAACTTTTGGATTACATTGGGTTTTGGCTTATATTGAATCATTTTTTAAAACAGGCATAGACATAACATCCTCTTTTTTCCTTAGAGCTTCTGCCAAAAAAAATAGTAAGTTTGCAAATGGATATTAAGCAATGCCAGATATTTTCTGGGTTTGTTTTAACAAATTAACCCTTTGTGTTCTTTTCTGATGTCCAAATAATTGTATTGGAAGCAGATGTTCTACCGAAATTGACATGATCAGAAGACATTATGCTCACTTATTAACATACTGTTTAATATTCACTACAACCTGTTTTAAAGAACAACAATGTGTTAACATTTAAGCCAGGAGGGATTTCTGTACACTATATAGTACTTGATGCAGCTTGTTTATGCAACAGTCTGACAGATACAATTAATCTCATGAAAACGACCAGAGTACAGCATAATGGCATATTATTTTTAAAGTAATAGAACACACTTTCCCTTTGAAAATCAGAACTTAATTAAATCATGTAACTTCAGGATACAGAGAAAAGCTCTAAAAGAATGAAGCTCATTCTGAAGGACAGTTGAATGAAAAAATGGTAGATTTTGTACAGAGAGAATAATAGGATAATCTCCAAACAAGAGAAAGAAGTAAGAAATACCTCCAACAAACGCATCTCCAGCTCCATTGGTATCCACAATTTCACTCTGATCACTCACCAACACAGGGAACGTAGTCACTTCATTTTCTATAGTGGAAGGGGAGAATAAAACGTGAGTTACTTGCAAATATGACTTTGAAAAGCACGACAAACAATGAAAATCAAAACAATTCAAAACTGGAGCTCTGACCTTTAACACAATAATTTGTATAAAAATAGATTTGGTTTATAATTCTGTCTGTATTTACTGCATAGGGATACAGGAACACATTTGATCAAGCTATTTGTTGTGGACATTTTCATTAATTACTTCCAGCTTAATTTCTTTTCTTTATCTCCTAATATTAAGGCCAAGAGAAAGAAAAGTAAATCAGGAGGAATGACATAAAACACCTGGGCATATGGGCAAGACTAAGAAAAATCCATCCTGCCAAAACCAGTGCTTCCTAGTAGCAGAGAGGTGATGTAGCCTCCGGAATGACCAGTCCAAGCTTCCAAAAGTTCAACAGAAATTGCTGCATCGTAAAAACCAAAATGCACATGAACTAACTAAAATAAAGCTGTGAAATAAAAAGCAGGAACTAGTGTAAATCAAAGTGCTCTCAAATGACATCTTTTTAAAAAACACATATATGTAAGAAGCCTTGCAACGTGCCATCTGACTAGATTTGGTTTCAAGATTTCAGTGACTTCACCCTCTTCCTTAGCATTTCTTTTTTAAAAAAATATTTCCTTCTCTGCAGCTCCCTGCCCTCTACTGGCACTCGTTAAACCTATTGCAATAGGTGGATACTCAGCATCTTCACCTCCAATTCACTGCCACACCACAGTTCAACATAATTACACCACTTAGGTATGATAACTTTAGAGTTCTAGGGTTATAAATTTAATATATGCCACTAATTAATCAGCTATGGCTTTCCAGGTGGTAATGTCATAATGACGTGATAAAAATATAATTACCACCTTGTCACAATACCTTGTTAAAGTGTAAATTACCCCTGTAACAGAGCCAATGGAAGTTCTGCCTCTGGTAGTCAGTATGCATTAAACTGTCTCAGAGCAAACAGATTCTCCTTTGGCAGACAGCAGAATTCAGAAAAGGGGAGGGGGAAGAAAAGCCTGTCAACCAGTGAAAAAGAAAACCATCAGAGCTGTTTTCTTTTAATTTTTGGTAAAAATAGAAATAAAATGGGAAATAGATCCTCCAGTAGCTGAAAGCTGGAGATGAGTAGTTTCTTCACTGTCCAGCAACAGAGCAGATCATAAAAATCACTCTTACACTGACGTAGACAGTAGCAAACAAGGAAACCTAGTTTGGGAGGCATATAAAGAATTCACAGTCTCAAATCAGGCAAGTCTGTGTATGCTGCAGAGGTACCAGAAGGATCCTGGTTTCTGTGAAATGCAGTGTATCAGCTCTACTGCTCTTCACCATCTGCTACTAAGTGAACCAGGCAGATATAATGATGCTGCCTCCAGAGGGAACTGTTGGCTGGCCCACCAGGAGGGGAGGGGAGGGGAGCATTAGCAACAACCATCCATGAGAGGCAAAGGAAAAAGGGTAACGAAAAACATAAGATGAATATTCCAATTAAAGAACAGGTTTCAGTCAGTTCTCAGTGCATCCTACTCTCTATCCTGTTAAGAAAGCTATTTAGAAACGTGCTTCAATGCTGTGTTGTGCTCTTAAGATAGTCTTCAAGAGCAATGTTTTTTAGTAATTTTAACAGGATTCATTTGAATTGGAAATCAAGAAAGAGAGGTCTTACATTAAACTCTGCCAGACGAGCAGAGTGTATTCATCCATTTCATAAGAAGGTATATATTATTTGCTCTAGATAATACTAAAACAATGAACAAAGTGATAACTCCGTTGAAGACACATTGTAATAAACTAACCTGCTTCCTTCCCGAGTGTGCATGGGCAGACACAGATGTTCTGTGTTAAATACACAGCAGACACTAGCATATGCATACAAATGTATGTGTTTGGGCACAGAGAGTGAATAATGCACAGACATTATATTTCAAATGCTGCAAATGGGACTTGGCATCAAATAAGACTCTATTCAAGCAAACTAACACAAATGAAAGTTCTCACTCTCTTCTTTCTCCTTTCTTTTCCTTCTCTGTCCTGATTCCTTCCCTCAGCTCCCTCTAGTACTTGCAGGTAAGTATTGCACTATGAGCTCTTATTCTGTTCTTTCTGCAGTAGATGTAATTGTAAGTAACTGAATTAGTCTAAACCCCAAACACATCAAGGAATTCAGCTGGTACGAGAATGATCTTTTATTTTCTGGTCACAGTTTTCCATCTCTACCTGTGTCACACATTCTGTCTCTATGACTTTATGTATTTTCAAGAGGAGCAATAATCTCATATTTTGATGTACTGAAGTTTCAGAAGCAGGTAGCATGGCTTTGGAGCACATACTACATTATGAAGATATTACCATCTCCACACATCCAATAGGCAAATTATCTTTCTTTAACCTTAGGAGAACTTCTACTAGTGTAGTAGAGTCTACTAAACTATAGTTAACAATAATACATATTGAAAGATACAACCAAATAATACTGAGGTGTTTTTTTTTTCTTTCCTTCACAATAAATGAAGTCAGTTAGAATTAAAGCTGCCATTAATTTACCTTGCTATGTCTGTGTAATAGCAGAAAAACAGCTAACATCTCTCGCTGATCTGTGTTTTACAGCAACTAGGCACAACAGGGTGAATTAAGATGAAGCAGAAGTCTCCATTCTGAATGTCCTTGCTTTTGTGGCTTTAACGTTGCTTTAACTTCATTTTTGTGTGTGATCTATTATGTTATAAAACTCCCAAATCCATCATAGCAAACACAGAGACACCTTGGCTAAGTGCACTGGTCATCAGTGGCCTTGCTTTTCAAAGTCAGTTCTGATTTCATTTATCATTCTGAGAGCTTATGAAATAAAGAATAATTACATAAGTGTGGTGAAGTCCAAGTGCTGCTCCTCTGGGCATAAAATCCAGTGTTCTATTTTTAAGCAACAAATATCTTCTATGGTAAACACCCTGGGATACAACAGATTCCACTTGGATATTATTTCCTGGAAGCCCAGAACTGTGAGTGCAAACTGCAACAGGGTGTCTATAATTAGGGAAGTTTTAGTAATAAGCATTAATGAAATTGAAAATTTTGGGACTTGGATTCAGCTCTCTCAATGATTTTACATTAGTGAGGAACTCAACTGTTTTAGAATGATATAGAAATAATCAAAATCAAACATTAATGTGGTGATTTCATAGGCTGAAGACAATATTCGCAGATAAATCAGAATGAATCAGCTCATTGGTGAATTTAGTTATTGTTAATTTGTCTCATTATGTACATAAAGATGTGAAATCTATCTTTCTTTTCCCCAGGCAAAAGTATGTGTTACCATATCTAGCTTAAGATATTTTTGTAGGTAAAACAGTCTGGAGAGATAATAATTGGAGAGTGATAATAACTGAAAAAGCAGTGCTCCTTCCATTCTAACACATTTAAGCTCCCAAATGCACACAAGCCTATTTCATGATGTTAACTGAAACAATCGAACTCTGATGATAGCTGCAAATACTACAGGTCTGTCTTTAAACCAAATTAGAATCACAGACTACACATCTACTCTTAGTACAGTAATAAACACCAGCAAGCAATCATTACATCCAATTAGGCTGAGTACTTTCCTTAACTGGGTCATTTACCAGTCTCTCTTGCTCTTAAAAGTAGATTAAATGTGTAAACTTACATTTAATTACCTGTAACAGAACTCTTATGGGCAACATGTTGGAGTGTCCTTAATTTTATATTAAAATAAAATAAAAGGAAGAAGGGAGCCCTAAAATATATACAAAACCGTCTAGCTATTTCCTCAAATAAGCTTTTGATCCATGGGCTGGCAGTGGTAGTACAGATGCTTACAAGATGGAGACACATTCATGTTTCTTTTGTGAGCTTTAACTTGTAAAAAAAGAACAACTGTGAAACAGAATTCTGCCCCATCTCCTCCCCACCTCCATCCTCTCTAATTTTCTTTAGATCGGGGGCCAAAAACAGATAAAAAGAAAGGAGAAGGAAAAAAAAGAGACAGGAAGAACTTAACAGAACATAGAAAACTGAACTCAAAACCTCTAAGTGTCTCTGGGCAGCTATAAGGTAAGAAGTAATGAGAAAAGTATTTGGAACAAGCCCATGTCAGTCAGGATGATTCTGAGCTCTTACCTCTCTCCAGAAGATAAAACTCAGAGGCCTATAGGCTCTAAGTCTCTGCACCTTCTTCAGCACATTAATAAATCTTTAAAAATCACTAGTATAACAACACTTTCTCCTGTTTTTTCTACATTAAAAATGCAGTTGTTGCTGTACTTCACACAAAGATACCACACTTGATAACGTAAATCAAATAGATACCGCCATCTCCCACCGTATCAGCACAGCACTATCTAAAGTTAGAAGGCAACGTGGCGCAGGGCACTGCGCGCTGAACCCCTGGTTAGAAATCCTTAAGACTTCCAGTGATGATTGTGCTGGTTTTGGCTGGGATAGGGTTAATTTACTTCATAGTAGCTAGTATGGGGCTATGTTTTGGTTCTGTGCTGAAAACAGTGTTGATAACACGGGGGTGTTTTCGTTATTGCTGAGCAGTGCTTACACAGAGTCAAGGCCTTTTCTGCTTCTCACCCCACCCCACCAGCGAGCAGGCTGGGGGTGCACAAGAAGCTGGGAGGGGACACAGCCAGGACAGCTGACCCCAACTGACCAAAGGGATATCCCACACGGTGTGACGTCATGCTCAGCACATAAAGCTGGGGGAAGAAGAAGGAATGGGGGGGATGTTTGGAGTGATGGCATTTGTCTTCCCAAGTAACCATTACACATGATGGAGCCCTGCTTTCCTGGAGATGGCTGAACACCTGCCTGCCCATGGGAACCAGTGCATGAATTCCTTGTTTTGCTTTGCTCATGTGCACAGCTTCTGCTTTACTTATTAAACTGTCTTTATCTCAACCCACGAGTTTTTTTTCACTTTTACTCTTATGATTCTCTCCCCCATCCCACTGCG